CAAAGGATTGATAAAATTGAACGGAGCTGACTTTTGATTGTCTGGAAACTGCAAATCGCTAAGGTAAAATATATTAGTCATTGTTTTAGAATAACGGAGTTTTTGATCTCCTTTTGGTTATCTATATAATACAAAAAATGAAATTTTAAAGATCAACTCCTATATTGAGTTTTTATATGGAAGTCAAGGACTTTTACTTTGATTCGTCGACCATAGATGTGTATCACGCAGTTGTAGGTGCAGATATTAGGTACTTCTCGCATTTATAATTTATTTATTTCAAAATTTCTAGTGGGTATCGATGATCTTCGAATTCAATGCGTTTTTCTAATACCGACCTACAAATTATTCTCGCGATTTATCGTTTAGTCTAGGCGATAAAGACATCTAACTGGACATTTTGAGGTGGAAAAGAAAAATGGTGGAATATGTTCAGTTAGGTGTCAGAAACAACATATTAAAAATCCCACCCCCAGACCCTGTGCTAAAGGCTCCAGCCACCCCACCATCCCCCAAAAACCGTGTTTTCGCTCTTTTTGGCTGATATCTCGCGATCTATGAGGTCTATATGAAATATTTTTAGCTGAAAATATTTCTCGGGAAATTTTATACAAAGTAGATACTCAGAAGTTAGCCTAGGTGTACCTCTTAGCCTAGGAAATTCATAAAAGAGGCGAAAATCATCAATTTCCGTGGCTTTTTGCAAATATATCGCGACCTTTAGGGCTAGATGAAATATTTTTAGCTGAAAATGCTCCTCGTGAATTTTCTTACAATGTAGATACTCAGAAGTTAGCCTAGGTGTACCTCTTAGCCTAGAAAATTCAAAAAAGGAGGCGAAAATCATCATTTTCGTGTTTTTTTTGCGGTTTTTTGCAAATATATCGCGACCTTCAGGGCTAGATGAAATGTGTTTAGCTGAAAATGCTCTTCGTGCAATTTCATACGAGATAGGTAACTGAAGAGTTGGCGTAAAGTCACTTTTCACCTTCAACTTTCATGTGTGAGGAAATATTCATCGTAAAACAAAGTATTTCTATGTACCATTTATTCAAGTAAAAACAGTATTTTCATATTAAAATATTCACACATTCATTTATACCTCAACGTAATCATTATCCTCTGCAGATTCCACTTCTTCAGGCTCTTAGACGTCCTCTAGTGCTAGTGGGTCGTCTGAAATTACCGACTCGTAGTTCTCCTCGCCTTCCGCTTTACCTGCATGGGCACCCTGAAACGTCGACGTCGCATTTAGGCACGATGTTCCATGACACTGGACGCAGAATTCGTTCTTCAGACCTACAACAAGAAGTATTATGTCCAAAACATTTTATAATTAAGTATACGAATATAATATTCTCTCGTGTGTCCTAACTCCTAAGTGTCGGGTAGAGAAGGTTTACCTGATTTTCTGAAACGAATTGATTTGGATTCTACGCACCCAAATTAATAAGAAAAAGTGTTTTTCCGAGAAATTTTGGTGTAGTCGATTTTTGGTAAAAAAGAAAGGTTATACACTGCCTTTTTTTGAGACCCGAAAAGAAAATTGTCTCTGATCGCTCCGGAAAAAAAATTTTCTGATAGAATGTGGCCTGTAGAATCCATAATTTCAAACAGTTTCAAGATTGGGCTACTAGTTCAAAAGTTACAGCCCTTTGAATTTTCTTTCGAAATTGGTTTCTAGTCTAGAACTTTTGATTGAGAAGTCTGATCGAAAAAGTACGAATTGTTTTGGATTCTACGCACCAAAATTAATAAGAAAAAGTGTTTTCCCGAGAAATTTGGTGCAGTCGATTTTTGGTAAAAAAGGAAGGTTATACACTGCCTTTTTTTGAGCTCCGAAAAAAAATTGTCTTAGATCGACCCGGAAAAAAATTTTCTTATAGAATGTGGCCTGTAGAATCCATAATTTCAAACAGTTCCAAGATTGGGCTACTAGTTCAAAAGTTACAGCCCTTTGAATTTTTTTCAAATTGGTTTCTAGTCTATAACTTTTGATTAAGAAGTCTGATCGAAAAAGTACGAATTGATTTGGATAAGTATAAGGGTAATGATTACGTTGAGGTATAAATGAATGTGTGAATATTTTAATATGACAATTCAACTCATGTATAAAAAATCGCATAAGCCGCAGTGAAATTGTCACTTTGACAGCGGCAAAAGTTACCTGCAACTTTTCCAGCGACAAATGCACTAGTGGTTTTTTCACTTATTCATTTTCGCACCAATTATCGCATTATCCTTTCCCATATGACTAGTTTGACGTCTGTCAATAATTGACTAGTTTGGTGAATTTCTTGTTCGTTAATTTGTCCTGCCGAATTACACTCGAGGTTTGCATTTAAACCGAGTAAATTTGGGTTGCTGCAATTCAAATCTGTTTCCTTTTAGCAATTGAACTCGAAAAACTGTCAACCTAAAAATGCTCCACCTTCGGTGTCGCATTTTTATTAGTTGACAGTTTTTTTCGTCTAATTGCTAGGCAACAGATTTTCATTACCTAAACAACCCAAATTTACTCGGTAAAATACAAACCTCTTGTGCAATTATAAGTGAAAATACTGTTTTTACGTGAATAAATGGTACATAGAAATACTTTGTTTTACAATGAATATTTCCTCACACATGAAAGTTGAAGGTGAAAGGTGACTTTACGCCAAATCTTCAGTTACCTATCTCGTATGAAATTGCACGAAGAGCATTTTCAGCTAAACATATTTCATCTAGCCCTGACGGTCGCGATATTTTTGCAAAAAACCGCAAAAAAAACACGAAAATGATGATTTTCGCCTCCTTTTATGAATTTTCTAGGCTAAGAGGTCCACCTAGGCTAACTTCTGAGTATCTACCTTGTAAAAAATTTCACGAGGAGCATTTTCAGCTAAAAATATTTCATCTAGCCCTAAAGGTCGCGATATATTTGCAAAAAGCCACGAAAATTGATGATTTTCGCCTCTTTTATGAATTTCCTTGGCTAAGAGGTACACCTAGGCTAACTTCTGAGTATCTACCTTGTATGAAATTTCCCGAGAAATATTT